CAGCGCCACACCCCCTCCACCTCCATTCCCTATTAACATTCAAATCTGTATCTTTTTACCTTTATATCTCTCCATTGTAGCCTTCAAGTGTGCACTCCTTGGATGCGTATTCACACATCTCCCTTGAGCAAACTGTCTGCTTCATTGTAATCAAAACTGGGTGACCATACTTATTTTCATACACAAATATTATTTTATTAATTCTAAACCCCACAGTTTTCCTCTTTTGTCTGTACATGATTATAAAAGACATTTTACATGATAAAACGTCTATGTATGTATATATATATATTCACATACTTATGAACATATATTTTCAAAAGGAACATTTCACTTTATTCAAATATATACCTAATGTGTTTAGTTGATAAAAAGACACTTTTAAATTAGTTTCTTTTTTCTTTTCTCTTTCCTTTTATTCTTGGATATTTTACAATTATTGCAGCAACATTCAAACTGTAAAAACAACTAAAACAGCCAAATGTATAGTACACTATGTATTTAACAGTAAAAATCCAATCAACTTATTTCCTATTTAAATATATATATATGTGTATATATAAATATATACAGATAATCACATAAAAATACATAAACATGAGCCTAAATAAATCCAATGATATATATATATATATATATATATATATACACGGTTTATGATATAGTTAATGATATGGTGTATGTTTGGTATGTTTGATATGATGTATGGTGTATGTTTGAAAATTCTTTAAATAATAAAATAGATTTTTTTTAACATTTATTTATTTTGCAGACAATTAAAACAGAAAAGAAAAAAAAAAAAAAAAAATTGCATGTATGCTCATCTACTTTCAATATTTTTTAAAACTTTTGAGCTTGTATTTTTCTTTTTCTTTCTGTGGTATATTATGAATATTAACATCACAAAAGATTTTTACTGATAAATTCAATATTATTGTGTACACAATTAATTGAATTTTATATATATTTTTGGTTTTGATGGACAGTATTAAAATATAGTAAATATTTTTGATATAGCTCAAAAAAATCAAGCATAGCTAATTTTATTTACTTCCTAATCTTAGCAGATATAAGTGCCAACAGTAGTAACCTTGTGTACATAGAAACAAGAATATTTTATTTTGCCCTGGAGAAAATCAAAGTAGCTTAAATAGAAGCATTAGGAGCTTAAACAAGAAACCATCTTCATCTTTTTTTCATGTGGATATTTCAAATGAGATATTACTAGAACATAATATAATAGAATAGAATATAGTGAAGCTTAAAACAACTATTATTATTGTTGCATATGTGAAAAAATATCATTGCACAACTCTATCTTTAGTGTATATATTGATTTTTTCAATTCTAATATAAGATCCATAAAAAAATATATTAACTATGAAATTATAAAAGAAGATTCTTCTATTTACAAATTATCAAACCAAAAACTTTATAATAGATGTAAATATTAACTTTGTTAAAACTAGTTTAGATACTTATTTTTTATTTGATTGGTGGATAATAACATGGATCATTTTATAGACTTAAAGTCATTAACGAAGATAATATTTTAAAGATTATAATATATATAAAAGACATAATATACACAATTGCTAAACAATTTGGAAAACTTATAAATTATAACCTAAACTTTTTTTTGTAGAAAAATTTGAGTTTTGTTTAGGATTTAATGCAAATGCAGGATAAAAATGAATTATTTTTTTTATACTTTTCTTTGATTTTCTTTTTTAAAAAAATATTAATATACAAACAAAAACTCTTGTGCAATATAAATTCTTATGAATTTTTTACTATTGCTCTTTAGATATTTTTTATAGGATTAAACCTTGTCTAAAGATACTTAGTTAAAACAAGAGAATGGAATTTCTTATATTATATTCAAGATATATAGTTTAATATAAATATGATTATACACTAAATATTTTATTTATTATTTAAATTAATATTAAATACTAATATATCAAATACTACATATTTTATTAGATTTCTATTTTTGATACAATAAATATAATTATTAAGAAAAACATGCTCAAGCTTCTTTATAAAATAAAATAAAATGATTTTTTATTTTCATTTTTATTAAACCAAGGATAGATTCAATATAAAAATATTCACAAGATTAAGAAATAGAAATTTAAATAATTCTTATAATGGGAGAGATTTGATTTTTTTAATGCATAATTGAATTATATTAAAGATGCTTATTTTGAAATTCTAAAATTTATAAAATAATCATTAAATTTTATTCTAAACAGATTTTAAGAGGAATGAATTCATTGCTAATATATCATCTATTAGTTTCAAAATTGTAGGAAGTTGTTTAAAAAGTGGAAGAAGACCAAAAATATAGATATAATGGAGAATATACAAGTTTTTTATCAAATTTTGTATACATTGTTTAGAAAAGATTATACTAATATGCTCTACAATATTATGCATATTATCCAATATATATATATATATATATATATATATATATATATTCATAAATTTTTAATTTTTATAATATTCTATTTTGCATATATAATGTAGAATTGATAATTAGTAGTCATTTTTAATCTTCAATTAAAAAATATAAGATCTTTTTTTGAAACATTAAAACTAAAGCTTCAATATCTATACTAAAAATATTTGTGCAAAATAGATGAATTTCTTTATAAGAGAATAAATTCTTAAAATCGTCTTATTTTTTTAAGAAATCTTGGTCTTAACTAAGATTTAAGATATGAAATCATTTATTCTTGAATTAAAAAAATTCAA